ACAGTCGTGCCACAGAGGTGCCAACTTGTGCTGCTGGAGGTGTTAGCAGCACCCAGGAGTGGACTTCTCTGGTGCGCAGAGATCCTGTGTGCGTAACCCAAAGAGTTTTATCAGCCGGGCCCAACGGGTGGGATTATCTCTGTGGGGAGCTGTAGGGAGTGATTTAAAACAGTACTGTTATTAAAAGCCATAGTAAGAATTTGGCTGTGACCAAAGGAAAAGAAACCAACTTCAATTCCTCTAGTCAACGTCACTGCAAATGCAGGATTCCTGAACCGAAGCCATTCACTAATCCTGGATATGATTTGCCAGCAAACCTGGAGAGGATTCAGCCGTTTGGTTTTATGGGTTGCTATTTTCATGTACTATGGAGAGACGCTTGTCATGTTTCTTTACATGGCACCGCAGACCTGCTGGTGGGCAGAGCCCTGCCGTCCACAGCACCGACCGTGTGCCGTCGCGGCAGAAAGCTCATCGCACCCCCCCGGCGAGGTGTTCCTCACCGCAGGAAAGAGTAAGGGAGTGTTTGCAACATTGTGCGTGGAATTAATAACTTTGTGGGCCTCTCAGACAAATGGGAATTGAATAAATGTCCTTGGAAGAGTGTGTAGGGAGCGTGATGCCAGATGCTGAGAGGCACCTTGCATCTCCCAGCTCCACGTCCTGGTCCTTCCTTCCCATCCCCTTCGGACCTGAGGCTCTTTGGCACATTCCTTTGAAGACATCGCAAGAAGTGTAGGAAGAAATAAAGCAGAGGACCTCCTTGGGCAAGCGCTTGGTTCGGAGTTATTTACTCTACAAATCATCTAAACTATGAGCAGACTTCATAAAACATAATAAACAAGGGATCTGGAGGGACGGGCGGCTGCAGCCACGCAAGGGTGGGCTGATGCAGAGCAGAACTGCGGCGAAGCAGCCGTCCACCCAAACCCGAGAGCAGGTCCAGAGAAGTTTCCATCGCGCTTCCCAAGAAGTTGCCCTATCAAACGAGCAACGCGGAGCCGATGGAGCTGTGACAGTTTATGGAGGCGCAGGGCCTGCTGCCATGTGTTTTAATAAATGGGTTCACACCAGCTGGCCGTGCAAATAAAACATTAGCATGTGTCAGACGCTGTCTACCCAGGCACTTGCCATAACTTACGGGACATTTTGCAGCAGAGCCATCCAAGTGCAGAGTGTGCCATGCCAGCGGGATAACACATTCCTTTCTCTCCCAGGAATGATGGGGTTCCAGAGCGCTACTCACAGCCAGGCTCCCCTTGCACGGGTGCCCAATCCAGGCTCAGTGAAAATCCTGGGATTCTAGGTCACAGAATCCCAGTATCCCAGACTGGTGGGGGCTGGAAGGGCTCTCTGGAGCTCCCCCATCCCACCCCCCGCCAGAGCAGGGGCACCTCCAGCAGTGGCACAGGACGGCGTCCAGGCGGGTTTGGGATGGCTCCAGAGGGGGAGACTCCCCCACCTCTCTGGGCAGCCTGTGCCACTGCTCTGCCGCCCTCACAGCAGAGAAGGTCCTCCTCAGGTGGAGATGGAACTGCCGATGGTCAAGTTTGTCCCCTCTTTCCCCAGGTCCACTAAGGACCTCTCCAGAATAGAGGTGTGAAGGTACGTAAGAAGCAATAAAGGAAAATCCATTTGTGCAGCCACCCGGCCAGGAAAATTCAGACCTTTTTGAAAAGCAGTGCTGAGAGCGTATGATGCTACCAGCATGCAGGGCTGCAGGTGGTGGGACGGGACACTCAGTGGGCTCCTGTTTCAGGGGAGCTGGCCCCAGAGCCAACAGCAAAGCTGTGAAGTAGCCAAAGCCACAGGTACTGAACTGCAAGTGAACAGGGGAAACATCTCTTTCTGCCTCGGAGTTCTCTTATCTGTTGCTGCCCCAACGAGTACCTTTTAAAACCTCCTCCAGCTGAAGTGGCATGAAAACATGAATTTACTCGTATGGGGATGGCTTTAAGAGGTGTTTAATTTATGTGAAAAAAACCCATAAAATTGGCTGCGGGGTGTTTTAGAGGATGTCTGCCAGGTAAAGTGTTAACTAGACCTCAATAATGTGGCCATAATGGACTTAGCCCTGCTACCAGGTCCCACACTGATGCCGATATTCAAACCAGACGTCCCTGACTGACAGAAGTAGCAGGCAAGCTTGGCAATGAAGAACATATAATAAAGCAGACTCACCGGTGGATTTAAGCGGCTGGAAGGATAGTGATAAACAAAGCTGGGAAATGGTACTGCTCTAAAGAATTATCGGAGGCCACACAGACCCCACGTCTCGACGGCAGGAGGCGAGATGCGCGGTGCCCGGCGGTACTGATCCCGGTGACACCTGGGGACACCCCGCAGAACTTCTCACTTACTGCTCTGCCTGCTTACCAGTATGGGCCGCGCTGAGCAATCTGTAATTACTCAAAGAATATCAGTAATTACTTCCTACAGTCGTTGTGGATCTTAAGTGGTACAAGTTCAGCAGTATGAGCAAGAAGCAAACACGCTGAATGGTGTTTGAATAGTTGCTTTTTTTTTTTTTTTTAATAAGGAAACCTAACTGTTCACACACGGTCTAGTTTCACTCGAAAATGTCCATTAAAACTTAAATATTCAAAGCAAACAGCGAGGGACTTGTGCAAAAAGAGAGATGTTAAATTAATACGCTCAAATATTCATCCCGGGGAGCTTTTTCCAGTCCAGGGAAGAGTATTCTCCTGCAAGGATCCCAGCACAACCATCACTCACACTGGGCTCTCAGTCTATAAATGGTTACAATTGCTCTGTTCTGGGACTGGCTTTCAATCAGTCAACAAATAAAACCTCTTGGAGAACTAATGGCTCCCAAAAAAAAAGCTGTTTTGCTTTAGACAGTTTGCCAAACAGGAAGAGGAGTGAAATATGTTGAGTGATTTATTACAAGGGATTTGCCAGCTCGAGCAAGTGCATCATTGCTCTGCTTCATTTAAAGACAGAAAATGAACGCAAAGAGATGCAAAGACCTGCTCTGAAGCCGCTTGAATCCGCTGCGAGAGACCAGGGCGCCAGATTTCCAACCAGCATGATCTCCGCGCGTCACTCTCCCACATTACCATTGCCCTTTCTTTCACAGGTCTTCCATTATTTGTCTTTTTTTAAACCTCTGCACAGCTTACGACGGGCGAATGCCCGCTCACACGCTGTGCAATGGTTTCCATTAATGCACTTCAAACCTGACTTGCAGCTGCTTTGCTTATTCACTCTGGAGCCTTCCCCGGCCCAGGGCCCTGCATCACGGTGCGTGCTGCTTCCCTGTGCTCGGAGGAACGGAGCGAAGCCATTAAACAACCTTCCTATCTTAGCAAATCTACTTTTGTAGCCAGATCCCCTGAGAAGGAACAGTATGGGAGGGTTTTGGCTTTTTTTGTTTTCCCCCCTCAACAGCTGCCTCTTTCTTTTTCACTTTTAAATTAATTCACAAGTGAAATAAATAAAAAAAAAATTACATGAGGATGAGCCCCCAGGTGAACTTCACATTCATGTCTGCCTACTTCTGACTTGGCTAACAGGATAAGGTATAGCCTGAATAATAACAAGACTGTAAAATAAGTTGAGAATTGTTTAAACTGTAATCTCCAAAGACACGGCTAAGAAATAATCCTCTTTTTTTTACCCCTATCATGGTAACAATGAGCATCGGTTTAATCCTAAAAGGAAGATGACTGTAAGTAACGCGTTTCAGCCACACTGTTCTCAAATCAGCTGGCTCACATCTCCTTAGGGAGCAGAGAATTGGGGTTAAGTACACCAGGCCACCACCGACAAAATCTACAAAGCACTTACAGAAGAAATACAGCCCCCACCATCTCAAGATGAAAGTTAGGTATCAAGACACGATTCTCATTTGTTTCCATTTGATTTCCCTCTCTTTAACTGCAGGAACATCTCAAAGGCTTTAGTACACATGCAGTTTTAAATTCTAATTGGCCACTGATTAAACCCACCTGAAATTCATGTCCAAAATAAAAGATTGAGGAGCTATCACGCACGAGCCTGGCAGCAAAGGGACTATGGAGTTTGGGGTCTTGCTCTTTCCAGCTCTCCTTCCATGTCTCTTACATTTTTCAAGCCTAATGCTCCAGTAAACAAATGCCTCAACGCCTCAGAGCACTGGAGCGCAGCGAGTGTTGATGCTGAAATCCTTTCCACGCACGGATGTGTTAGAGAAAGCAGCGTGTGGAGACCAGCAAAGCCTTTCTGAAGTCAGGAGGGGTCTGGTGGTTAAACCAGCTACAGATTTCCCCAAAACAGCAAAAGTAGCAGCCTCTAGCTTTGAAGATACCATTCTTTTTCCGATGCCTATGTGGCACCTTGTTCCCCAAACTTTCTGAAATTCCTATCTGTCACCACACAGAGGAAACGGGCTCCGGACCAACCCAGCAGAGGGGCAGGGAGGATTTATTTCCCCCGATTTTGGTGGCCCCTTTCCAGCAGGAGGAAAGGAGATGCAGCCGATGCAGAGAAAGGCTGGAGATCTGTGGGTTTTCTGGCTATGAACTGCCACAATTGGGGAGGACCCGAGATTCCCGGTCCGCCGTTCCCCGGGGCAGCCGAGCGGGCCGGCGGTGGCGGCAATGGGGCCCGGCTGTCCCGGGGTCCGCGGCACATGGGGGTCCCGGTGGGGGACAGCCTGGGCTCCGGGCACCGGGAGAGGAGCTCCGGGGGCGGGGGGAGGAGGGCTTCCACCGACCCGGGGCTGGCTTCACCGCGGCGCAGGATTTACCCCGGTGCAGGGTCTCAGCCCGGCGCTGTGGGGCAGGAGGGGGTGCGGAGCCGAGACGACCCCCCCCAAACCCCGCCTGCCCGCACCCCGGGCCGGGCCGCCCCGTCAGGGCTGCCCGGGACACCCCCTTTCCCAGTCGGTTCCCCCCCACCCCGTCCTGTCCCGTCCGCCTCCGCAGAGTTTGGGCATCCCGGGGGGGGGTCTGCCCGGCCCCGGCTGCTCGGGGCGTCCCGGTCACCGGGATCCTCACCTGGATGACCGTCTTCAGGGTGGAGGCGTCCACGATGGCGGTGCAGATGAGGGAGTCGGGATCCCGGTCCTTGCCGTAGATCTCCCCCATGGTGAAGATCATGGGGATGGCGAGGAGGAAGGAGGCGATCCAGATGCAGCTGATGAACTTCTTGGTGCGGCTGCGGGACATGATGCTCTTGGCTTTGAAGGGGTGGCAGATGGCCATGTAGCGCTCCACGCTGAGGCTGGCGATGTTGAGCGCCGTGGCGTAGGTGCAGGCGTCCCGGAGGAAGTAGTAGCCCTTGCAGACGGCCCCCCCGAAAGCCCAGGGGTGGTGGACCCAGATGAAGTTGTAGAGCTCGATGGGCATGCAGAGGAGGAAGATGAGGAGGTCGGACAAGGCCAGGCTGGCCAGGTGGTAGTGCACGGTGCTCTGCAGGTTCTGCAGCGACTTCTTGCGCACCAGCGTGTACGCCGTGATGGAGTTCCCCACGGTGCCCACCAAGAAGAGAGCCAGGTAGATGACGGTCACCATCACTTTGGAGTAGATGTCGGTGTTGACGTCCAGGTCCTCCTCGTCGGGCCCTTTGGGGAGCAGGTCGGAGCGGTTGGAGGCGTTGGGGTGGAGGTGGAGGGGGCCGCCCGGCAGCGCCGGGGCCGG